TAAGATTCACTAACATTTTTCTCCAGCAAGAAAGAAATTACAGTGTCGTTATAATAAAGCAAGCTAGCAGCATTGTTCTAGTGTGGGGTTATTTTTCCCCCCCCACTATAATTCTTCTAGTACATGAAGAATAGAATCAATCGTCAATCAAGAGATTAGCATCTTGTAAAAGTGGAAGGATCCATCACACTGCACATGATCAGAACTGTAGAAAGAGTTGGAGTTCCCTCCCCATCCAAAACTCTTCTGAGCTGAACACTTTATTTGGGATTTTGAGTTGTCTTTAGCAATGCACCTTTGCTGCTTTTGTTTTTCTCTAAACACAAACACTTTCCCCATCTTTCACTACGACAACCTGGGGCAAGACCAAAGGAAGTTTTTAATCATCTTCCCAGTTTATTTACAGGTGAAAATAATGTAATCAAAGCAAGCACATGTTATTCCTGCCCCAACACAGCACACACGACATACCAATTACCAAACTACACATACAAAGTAGAGAGGAACTTGCTCTCAAGTTTCTTCTCTTCTTTTCCTCCCTTTGCACTTCCTCTCAGTTTCCAGTAACATCCTCCCAGGTACGACCTTCTCTAATCTGTGGTGTATTCAGCATACGAACGCCCCACCAAACCTCCCCGCAGTCTGCCTGCTTTCACACACGCACACAGGAAAGCCTTCGTTAAGGCAGAGGTCAGCTACAACACGCACACACAAAGCGCAGAAGAGCACTGTACGCCCAGTGAAAAGGCTGCTGAAAGCTCGAGGAAGTTGTTGTCATTAGTGGCCTTCCACTATGGGCTCGATTCTGCTCAAAGAAAAAGAGGGAAACAACTGACAATCTCAACAGGTAACAATTTACTTCTTTGAGAAGCAGTATAGTACTATACAAAATTTGTATCCACTTTAAATAGACTAAAATGTGAGTTTCTAATCCTAGATTAGTATTCCTTCCTCTCCAAGTAAGCAAGTTCTGAATATTAATGACAGAGGGGCCCATTAAAAGCAGCATATACAAACTTTGAGTGATCGCAGAACAAGAGCACGGAACATGTTACCAGATGTTGAAGAACTCCGGCACGCAAACGCTTTCAAGTCATTGAGGGAAGGGAGAAAAGGAATCGTCCTGAAGACCATAAACTAAATCTTGAGAGTGGTCAAGAAGTTTGAGCCAACATTATCACTTTATCCAATCACTTAATTAACCCAGCAGCTACACGGCAATACAAACTTCAGTATCAGACGCACTGCACTACGACAGGTCGCAATCACTTTCGGCGTTGCGCAGATTTAATGTACTGTGGACATAAAAAAAAATTACAGTAGTTAAACAAGCCATCTGGACCTACAACAGGAGAGCAGCCAAGTCGCGAGTGGCAGGAACTCCTCTTGCACAAGCAACCGTACGTGTCAGGCACTGCTTCCTACTGCTCCGGCAGGCATGCAGCGACAGGTTACACTTGGACAACAGAGTTACCAACCCTATGCTCTTCCCCTGCCTCTGCACCAAAGGTTCCACACTGGAGGCGAGGACAGTGAATCATTTCCTAAACCACGGCGTACGTCGGCCGGCACACGGAGGTGAAATAACGCCAGTTTTTCCCACCTGAACACGCCGATCTGAAAACCGCGACACCTGAGGAGCCGACCGAACGCTCCCGCCCCAGCACCGCGGCACCAACAGCTCTTCAGCTCTTCCGTGCCAAGGCGCGGCGTGACAATGACTGACTGCGCCCAGAAAACGCTGCCTCCGTCCCCCCTGCCCCTTGCGTGCTCTCCCACACCCGCCCGTCGGCAGGGCGGGCCAAGATGCGAAGAAATCCACCTCAACCCCAGCAAGAAAACAAGTGTGACTCCCACGGGGGGGGGTCACGGAAGGGTTGTTCCCACCAAACACAGGTCCGGGGGTGGAAGGGAAGGAACCGTAACTTCTGGGGATGGCAAGCAAACGGGTGGGCTTGGGTTTGTTGTGGAAGGGAACCTGAGCGTCTCTGCCACCTCTGACCCCGGGCTCGTCAGCCAGAGGAGCGGAGGGAACCTCACCACGCTCCCGCCTGGAAGCTTCGCGGACGGGAGAGCATAAAAACATTGGGAATTGGAGAGATCCAAAGGAAGGGGTTGAAGATTTTAAGATATAAATAGGGATACTAAAATTAAAAAGCCCACGAACAAAAAAAGGTATTTTTGGAGTCTCCAGCCGCGTGCTGACTGACCGTTTCGGTGCCAGCTGGGACTGAAGGGAGAAACACCTCACGGCCCTGGCAGCGCGCCTCAGGAGGGGCCTCCGCCCCC